TCCTGCTGCTCAGCAAGCGTGGGGACAGCACAGACTCGCCCTCCCAGCTTTCATACCAGCACCAAGCCATGAGCCAGTGTGGAACACCCAAGTGCTGCCGGGGCTGGAAATGCCTCCTGACTTCACTCAGCTTCCTGGGAGCAGAGGGTCTGGCATAACAGGAGGAAGGTTTCTCTCTCTCCTCAGATCCTCCAGGGGCCCAGGATCTAGCCCCATGCACTGCACCATAGTGGGGAGAGCCCAGAGGAGGAGGATGGGGAGCACAGGCAGTGCTGGAGGGAGGAGAGGCAAGGGCCACACTGGCTCAGATCGTACCTCCAAACAAGCTGCCATTTCAGGAGAAATGCCCATACTGCTGGTGTGATTTGCCAGATGTAAGGCTGGAAGCTAACTGATGAACAGATGCTACAGTGTCATTTCCTTAACAGGAAAGACCTAACTAAAACCAAAATAAAGATGCAAAGGGACTCCATTGGAAACATATTCCCAGACTAACAATCATAAAAAGGTAAAACTTCAGAATCACAGTGCTGTTCCTCACATATTTTTTTAAATAGGAAAGCGAGTAACAGCAGTGCCCATGTTCCCAGAGCTGAGATTTGTTTGTTTGTTTGTTTGTTTGTTTGTTTTTAACTGTTACCTGTCCATCAGGAGGACTGCAGGAGGCAATAATGTACTGTAAGTACAAGAAAAGTGTGGATGGTGTGTGCACATGCAGGTTTTCTGGTTCCATTTTGTCTATCTTAGCAAGGAGAATTAATTTCCCAGGCCACTCTTTGCACAGGCACATCCTATCCATCTTATGGTAATTTAAAGAAGTTTCCCCTGTAAGAGTGCATTGCACTGTATGCAAAAAAAAATCACCATACTCTTTCCAGTTCACCATGTGCAAAATCAAAACAGAGAATTACCAGCTTAATTGCTTTCAAAGAGCTCCCACATACTGGAAAGTTATAAAAAATAAATTTCCTCTTCACAGGAATAATTTTCTCCCCTTGAAGTGGCAAGCTGTTGGCTTTATCAGAGGGTGGCCCAAAGAGGCATCTGAACAAGTGACCATAAGAAGGATGGCAAAAATGTTCTTTTCAAGGCACCCCGAGACCAGGGATCTCATTGTCAACTAGGCCAGTGAAACAATACTGACCAACAGACCAGAGTTGCCTTTCCAGAGCTTGGTGCTCCCACTGGCACAACACCTATGCTCACCTAGGGGTAGCACCCAAGGGCTCACTGGAAGGGGCCTCACTTTGATGGATCCTCTGGAGAAGTGACTATGGGGACCAGCAAAGGGACCATCACGAGCTGCAGTGCTCATTAACTGGTTCACCACAGTAGAAAACAGCAGTTCCTTTCCTTGAAGTTCAGTGGTGAAATAATTGTGACCCAGTAAAATAAAACATTGTTTTTAAATATTAAAAAAGCAATGACTTTAGAGAACAGATACATAAAATCATCACACATTAAAACCGTTGTGTAGTTTGCTCTAAGAAGCTGGTACCTTTTCAAAAACTCTAAGACCTTAGCATGTTACAACCCACAAAGTTTGCTTTTCTTCCCCTTGTCTTTTATTCTGTCCTGAGCCTCTGAAGAGCTACTCCTTACCCATTTTGTTTTCTGTTTGTAAAGCTTTATGCATTGCAGTTTTTCATCGTCTTCTCAGAACATTATCTTATTTTTTCATCTTTCTTTTCAAGAAACTTCTTTTTTCCCCCATCTGCCACCATCTTCAGTATAATACTTCTCCCTTTAGGATTTCTTTTATCCTTCACATCTTTATGCCTTTCACTTACTCTTCCCCAGACCCTTCATTCCTGCTTTTGCTTGTCAAAACTGTGTTTCTTCCTCCTTCATGAGGGAAGAAGTGGGAAGGTTGGGCGGATTTTTTTGCTATGAACACCCAGGAATGCTCCAATCAATACTTCGAAACCCTGCAGAGGAGAGATTGCATGAGTCTTTCAACACTTTCAAAATTTGCAACTGCAGTTAATGGAAGTCTGACTAATGCTTGAAAATCATAAGCTTATTTTAAAGCAGTGCTGTAGCTTCCCACCAATAACATCATCAGGCCTTCCCCAACAAGCTTTTAATTTTACATTAGAGACTCTACTCCATGTTTTGAAACCCTTGTAGCCCTGTAGCAACTTCTTTTTTTTTCCAAACCCCAGGACACAGCAGGTGATGGACGCAGTCTCAGATACCACCTGAGCCTTTAGCTCTGGCTGGATTTCTGTTCAAGTCAAAGGAAAGCCATAATGCTGCCCTACTTACAGAAAACCATGTCCGGGCATACCCAAGGAGATTCCAGAAGAGGGGTGAATCCAGTTCAGCTGGAAGTGAGCGTACGTAAAACATCCTCAAGCCTCAAAGAATCTGTCTAGCCATGGCTGCAGGATCTGTCAGGAGAGCAGTGGCTCCACCCTGAGGACAGTGCCACCCTCGAGGGAGGGCCTGGGTAGTGTTCAGTGCCAGGGAAGAGTCTACAGTCTCTTCACCCTGTCCTGATAAATGTGCCCTTGCTATTTATTTTGTTTCCAAAAAAATCTGTAATAGTAGTTTGGGGATCTTCTGACATTTCACTGTCATTTCATCAGGACTTCTTGTAGCACAATTATTATTGTCATTAGGTCCCCTCACGTGTTAATGCCTACATAACATTTAATTGTGAGTCCTTGTATCTTCTCTTTGGGGCTCCTCTCTTGTGGCAGCCAGTGGCAAGTTCACCATAAAGCAAGATCTTAGGGAGGTGGTGGTCCTTCATCCTGGAGACGTGCCCTGCCCAACGCAGCTGTGTTCTCAGCAACATGGCCTCAATACTTGTGACTGCTGCTTATTCTAGAACAGATGTATTGGTCACATAATTCGACCAGTGAATGTTTAGGATTGTGTGGAGACAGCGCTGATGGAAGTGTTCTAGGAGACGCAGGTGGTGGTGGTAGATGACCCATGATTCAGATCCGTATAAGAGAGCAGACAGCACTATGGCTCTGTAAACACTGATACAAGGACTCCCTGAAACATCTCAGCCTTGGCCACATTGGTCTTCATCACTGGTCTACTCTGGCCTCCAATTGGGAGGTTTGGAGACACACCATCTATAACGCTGCTGATGCTTTTGAGAAAGCACGCAGGATCACTCTTGAGGAGAAAAGACAACGCAGAAAGAACCGTGCCTTGCAGAATATACCACCTAAGGAGTCTTTCTGCTGTGCCTTTTGCAATCGGACGTGCCTGTCTCGTATTGGCCTTTTTAGCCACCAACGCGCTTGCAACAAATGTGGGTAAAGCCCTTCCCAAATCTTTGTTTGCGAAGCCCAGCCATGATGATGATGATTTAATTGTGAGCATTCCAGATGGGGGCCAGTTCTTGCTGTGAATTCTTAGCATGCAACCAACCTAACACCTTCATGGGCCTGTTTCAGTTGGACCTGTTCCCTAGACAAATCACTTAAGAGGTCTGGAAAATCCTCTGCAGAGCTTGCAACAGATAGAATTGACTGCTCCTGACAAGTCTACCATTTTTACTGTTCTCCATCTGCCTACCAAGACTGCCTCATTCTTCTGAAGTACTGAAGACCACTTAAAATGTGTCTAAAGCTTGATGCCAACTTCCTAGCCCCACTTGCCAATTCAAAAAATCTGTTGCAAAATATATGTCAATACATTTATTCCTAGACTAAGGCAACCATGTTACTTAAACGCTGGGGTAATCCTAAATGCGCTGGAGAGGATGGTGCTGATAATAGAATCTTCAGACACAAAATGGCTTTTGCAGAAGGTATCACTTCTAGCATGAGATATTTAAAACCTTTTCTTCTCCCACTGAACACCACAGGCCTGTCTCGGCAGTCTGGGCATGCTTCCCAGCTTGCTGTCCGGATAGCAGCCGACTCTCAATGGGTTGCTCGGGTATGAAATTCATGGAACTGGAAATCAAGGGCAGGAAGGTCCCAACACGAGCGATCTAGGTATGAATATCTGTTCTTGCTTCTTGAGTTCCCTCATTAGCTTTTGTTCTCCTAAGACTAAAATTGTTTGGAAATCACTGGCTTTTAGGTTTTCCTTTCCCACTGGTAAGACCTGAAGCTATTTGAGCTGTTGAACAATTTGCAGTTTCTGAGCTTGGTTGCAGTGCCAGCTTTGTATAGATAAATATAGAACCTGTGGCATTTTCAAAAGCCATTTGGAATAGCTCTTCAATATAAGCACTTTCAGCAGAGATTAAACACATTATTTGGGTTTTCTGCCTAAAGAAAAAAAATCACTTCAAAAATTGGCAGAATTACCAGTTTCTTCAATGACAAAGTTCTCTTCCCCAAACTGGGGCTGGCAATTGGCAGCTCTTTACAAAGACAATTTTTTTTTTTCTTTCCTGTCTCCCCTTCCCTACTCTTTGATTTCAAAATAACCTTCAAGGCAAAAAGAGCAAGATACAGCAACATTAAAAAAAAAAAGAAACTGATTAAAATTTTTCACTCTTTAAACAAAATGCCTTGCATTTTTACTAATTTGTATCAGATAAAATGCTACCACATTCCTACAGAGGAAATTAACACCTTACAGGAAACTGGACACATTATGTTCCTCAAGGAATTTTCTATTTCAGAAGTCCTACTGAAAAAAACCAAAACAACAATACAAATTAAAAACTTTATTAAAATCAATTGGAATATAATATGAAATTTAGTATCATATAATATAGGTGTAAACCCCCTGATATTAACAGCATGTGACACATGTGAAGAGAGGACATTAATATACATATAAATAGAAAAGCTAAAATATGTTCGACAGTGATGTATTAAATGGGTACATAAATGTGACCATAATTAGGAGAATATATAAATTTGTATCCCTCTAGCAGTACCTTCTAAAGCGGTATACATAGTAAATTGCATTTAATTCTAGTCTCTGCTTTCTTATAAGCAACAGGAGATGTGAGGGAATATTATAAGCACATGCAAAAGCAATGTAGAAGATATAAAAACAGAGGCAGAAGCCAGGCACTTATTTGTTCTTGGCTGCCAGAGGCTTACGGCTGATCTTCTTTGACTTGTCATTGTTCTTCTTTGGAGGTTCAGGGTTTGCCTGCATGTGTCTGCCATAAAGACTGTAAGGAAATGAGACAAAAAAAATTGTGATACAGGATTTTACTCTGCAGCACGTTAAACAATGCATCTAGTTACTAAAAATAAAAAAAGTAAGATCTTTATTTTGTCTCAACACACTGAATTTTCTATTAGATCTCGCTGCAGTCATTAACATTCGGTTTTTCGTGACTTTTCAGGGTAGTAACACCAGTAAATGCAGGCCTTTGGAGCAGTGAAGGAGCAATCAGTTTTGCCTTAAGAAACTAGCAACCTTTATTCTGCAGTTATGGGATTAAGGCTTGGAAGGCTGCAAGGATGTGTATTCAAGTAGACAATGATAAAAATTGGGTTGAACTGAAGAGATAGAGTGCCTGCTTAGAGCAGAGTGAGCATCATCCCTAACCAGAAAACCCAAGGGCTTGATAATGTGACAGAGAGCAATGGTGTCACAGCAGCCTTTGCTGCTCACACATGATTGATAGCACTGGGACAGCTACCAACACATCAATGCCACATTAGTAAGTACCACTGATTAAATGTTGACAAAGTATCCTACAATTAAGACACTGGCATTCACTGTGAAGCTAAATAGACTACATGGCTGAGAGGATCTTGCTAAATATCACATAGTAATTGATAGATAATTTATGAGTAATCCTGATTAAACTAAATTAAAAACCTACCCAAAATAAACACAGCTCAAATTTAACTTCCCTTATTGACATAATGTGCTTTTCGAAGACGCGCTTTGCGGGTTTTGGTTGGGGTAATTTTCTTTATAGTAGCTGGTATGGGGCTGTGGTTTGGATTTGCACTGAAAACAGTGTTGATAATAGAGATGTTTTTGTTTTTGCTAAGCAGTGCTTGCAAAGAACCAAGGCCTTTTCTGCTCCTCACCCCACCCCACCAGCGAGTGGGCTGGGGGTGCACAAGTTGTTGGGAGGAGACAAAGCTGGGACAGCAGACCCCAGCTGATGCAAGAGATATTCCAGACCACACGGGGTCATGTTCATCATATAAAGCTGGGGGAAGAAGGAAGGGGGGGACGTTCAGAGTGATGGTGTTTGTCTTCCCAAGTCACCATTACCTGTGATCTTGGAAGTCTTTTCCAACCTTCATGATTCTGTGACTTTATTCTATTCTTTACTATTCTAATTATACGTCAGGACGTTAAAAGCTACCACCTGCTTTGAGCTTTATTTTGCTATATCTGGAAGATACTTCAACCCTGGGGTTCCTAGACCATGGAGTGGGATTAGAACTTCTTGTAGGGTGGGCTGGAGAGGAAGTGCTAGCTTTCACCTTCTCAGCAGCTGAAGATTTACATCATGCTGCTAAGCACGCTGCAGTCAAGGTGTACTGTAGCTAAAACAGCCTTGCTCAAGGAAAATACAACTGTAAACTACGACATTACTTCACCTTACTGAAATTTTATGTGTCATCACCTACTGTCAACAAGGGATCAGATGCCATTTCCTGATGAATGCAGAGAGCCCTGACCCTCTGTGATAACTACATGCTTCATGTTAGCTACAATAGTCATATTTTTCTTCTATTTCATAAGAGATAGAGCCCCAACAGCACAAGACTGTATTTTATCCAAGTACACAGTATGCATACTAATCAAACATCTATCCTAAGTAACTGTCCTATTTTGGAAGGCATTAAGTGAGTTGAGGGAGGGAGTATATGGAAGGAGATGGTTTGGTATTAGGAAATACTATCACTGTAGAAGAGCACAGAAGTGACATTCAAGGAGCTTGTCCCATCAGAAACTGATCCAGGGTAGAAAATGTCAGGGAACAAGCAGTATCTTGTTCTCAATGATATGCAATGCAGCATTTGAACCACTGTCAGCAATAATTTTGTAACTCCAAGAAGTTAGCAAAAGAGAAGCAGAAATGTATACTCAAATCTGTGAACACCAATAGTTAGCTAAATACTAAATTAACATTCAAGCTGTTTTTTGGCTCTTTTTCATAGAATAACAAAGTCCCCATTTGGGATTTTAAGCACTGAATTAACAGAGAATCCACTGGTCCACCATATTTGAGCACAAAAACCCTTCACAGATGGGAACAGAAGTCCCTTGTCACTGTCCTGTCTTCCACATCCTGCTGCCTCACAGCTCCTTTGTCCTGTTAGTGCCAACCCAGAGAGGACTGAAATAGCTTTAGTGGTTCTCAGCTATTACATACCCTCTTTTCTGCACAGGTTGCTTTAAGCTCTCCTTTTTTTGGTTTGGAAACTTCACGTGAGTTTCCCTCTCAGGTGACCCTTTTGGCATTTGTTACACCTCTCATTTCTTCCTTTCTCAGTGCAAATGTTCAAAGTTTGTGAACTGGCAGAGCTCTGGTAGTGAACTTTTCCTGAAGCAAAAGGGTGTGGTGGGGATTCTACTGACTACACAGATGCTTTCCAAGTGCAGAAACTGAATATTGACAATTTTGATTGAACTTCAGAGTTCTGCTGAAGTCTTCGTGCGCAACGCCTTTCGACTGTGAAATGAGATCCAGTGGCCACTGCATGTAAGAATCCCAATGTACCTGGACGGATTTTTGGTATTTCTTTGATATTTGCTCCTCACAAAGTTCAGTGCTATTGGTGCTCCAGTGATTCCCTTTGCCCCATGCAAATACTCCAGTAGTAATAGATGTACATGAGTTGAAGGCATCTATAGAAAATTTCACATTCCTTTTATTTATCCTCATGTCCAACCACTTCTATCATCATGTGCACCGAAGTTTCATCCAGGAAAATAATTACTGGGTTTAAAATAAGCAAATCAAATACATCTACTTAGGTTTTCCTGGCAAAATGTCAAGGAAGTTTCAGCGCACATTGCTATCTCAACTGAAGATGAGTGCTTTACAGTCTATCACAGGAGTCTGCTACGCAAAGAGCAAGGATCAGATGTATTTGGATTATACAAGCCTTCACACGCAGGGTCTCTCTCTTGTGTTTGCATACATCAAATATGAGGAGACATATGGTGTCACAACAACATTTAAATACAATAATGACTGTGATAATGCCTCTGGGACAGAATTTGCATTCTGTTACACTCGGGAAAAGAGAACTCAAAATTTTCAATGAACTTTTGGTAGAATAACAGACACCACTTCCATAGCTCCCAAGGGGGAAAAAAAAACACAGGAAAAAAAAGCAAAAGATAAAAACTAATGGAGCTTATCTGCACAGAGAAGTAACTATCTGAATTCCACAAGAACCTATAACCCTTTGGTTGTAATAGATGTGAAATTCGTATACACAGCCTTTAATGATTTCAATACCTACTGGAAGGATGCAGCCACAGAAGTAGCCATAGCCAAGCTGTCCAAACTGTGTATATGCTCCTGCTCTGCATCAATGCAAAGTCAGCTGTGTTAGGGAGAGACACTTGCACCTCGTCCTCAGCAGTGGAGGTCAGCTTGTGACATGCACACAGACAACTGTGCTGCTCGGCTGACGGATGGTAATGTGCTGGGAGATGGCACCTTGACATCACTGTTTGCATGACCAGACCCTTAGCCACAGCAGATTGTCTCCATAAAGAAACCAAGGAATACCGAGGCAGATTGTGGCTATAGTTTCAAGGCAGCTTTGTGAGATAAGTGCTGATAACACACGGCAGCACCTTCCCACTTGAGATTTGAAACGTCACCTGTTTACGGAGCTGGTACTGCTCTGAGAAGGACACTACGCACAGCTCACAGGCCAAAACCTCCGCTGAAGAATAAAATCTGGAGTGCAAATAAATATTTGAGATGTTTGCAGTTTGCAGCAACAGTCAGAAGCTAGTTATTATAACCACAGCTCACACACTGAAGAGACTTTGTAGACTTAGCAGCTACAGTACTGCATGCAGCCTTCTCATTATGTTAAAGTGAAAGGGGAGATTACATGCAAGACTGAAAGCTCTCAGATAGAGACTTCCAATTGCTTTCTTTACTCGTATATATTTTTCAAAGCAAATATATCTCATGAACATAAATGTTTCTTTGTATGCAGATATAAACATAAACAAAATCTCCTCGCATTCTCCACCTGCCCCACTGGAAGTAACAAATGAGAGTACTATGGCTGCTGCAGCAGCAAAACTAACAATATCAAGTGAGAAAGATGCTCATTAAACTTCATCATTCTGTCTACTTTAATGATGTTTTTACTTAATAAAAATTCCCTAAGTAGTTGCAAGGATATTAGGCAAGGTCTCTGGTTATGTATCAGGGGCCTAAGCTGTCACTAGCAAGCATGCAGTTCAGGAGGGGCATTCCCAAGAGGAAAGAGTGAATATAGCTTTCTTGTAATAAATTCCAAGAGAATCAATAACCACAGCCTGCCACATTACTTAAGTATTTAGGAAAGTAGGTGATCCTTCTAAATTAAACTACAAATTGCAAAATATTGCAATTTACAGCATAAAATCAGGCATGGAGCCTTGAAAGCATAGAGTCTTGTTACCAAAATCTCTGAATTTAAAAACTGAACCACAGTTAAAATTCATAAAGTTCAAAAGAGTCAGTTTCAAAAACCACCTTCAGCACAACTGTCTCCAAGTTTTCTCTCTTGTACAACAAAATGCTCACTAGCTGAGGGCTACATGCTCCCAGAGATGAAGAGCAAACTTGTGTAAACTAGGGAGCTACTGCAAAGTGTTTCATGCACACATTGATTTTCTTCAGTTCAAGCATTTTGAAAGAGGACTTCGAGATCGAGCCATAGGAAATACACTGCTCTCACTTCATGTCTGTAACAGACCTACAGGGTTGAGTATGCAGTATGAAAAGGACCGCACAGCTAAATACAATCTTGGAGAGATGCTACCTCCAGCTATGTACTGTAATCTGGAAAACAAAGGTGAAACATTCCAGCCTGCTTTTTCAAAAGCTGGAGCTCAGGATCAGGCAGATATTTAGTGCTCAGATGAAGCTTCAAATGTGGGTATTTACAGGGACCTCAACAGGACGGTCCCAAGCCTCAGCTGCTGAAGCAGGAGACAGGAAAGGCTAAATCAGTG